GCTTCTAATGAAATTGTATTGTCAGTGATGATTGTAGCAGGGCTGTTGAGTAATATTGTAGATAATTTGCATGAATCGGGTGCTTGCAGAAAAACATACTCTAAAGTTAGCTAGTTATCTTGAGGTGCACGGAGTATTTGGTGACTGGTGTGCTGCACTCCTGTTACTAAACGTTCTCATCCGTTCTGGAGAGTTTAATTTTAGTGTTCATGGAAGAGTCTTCCTGCTGTTAAACTCCTGCCTTCGGTTTTCCTGTTGGCTTTCTTATCTCTGCTCTGCTTCCTGATGATTATGTCTATTATAGTAGAGCTGTTTCTTAATTGTAATGCAGTATGTTACAGTGACTATTAGATTGTAATGCTGTGGTACTTGCTAAGGCTCTGCTTGATTTGGGCTGGTAAGCAAAAACATAGGAAAAGTTGATTTTGATTTTGAAAAATGATAATAAAGAGATACATATACTTAACAATAGATAGATAATAGATCATAAATAAAACAAATAATACAGATAGCAATACAGTTCTATAGTGAGTAGAAAAAACTTAATGTAACTTAATAGAAACTGAATATTTTTCTAATTATATTTTGCAAATTTTTATAATATTCATTTTTACAGTAGGCCTATAATTGGGGTCTTTAGGCAAAGCAGTGTAAAAAAAAAGGTAGATTAAAATAAAAAAAAATGATTAAAACAAATTTTAAATGGTAAAAATAAATAATGTAAATAACAAATAGTATAATAAAATTAGATTAAAATAAATAGATGTAAAAATTACATTAGAATAAACAAATAAACAATACATAGAGCAGTAAAGCACTATGCTGAGTAGACAAAACAAACAAACAATGTAATGTAACAGAGTAAAATACAATTTAAAATATGTGTAAAATACAATTTTCCAGATTGTATTTTACACATATTTATAATGTTATCGCTTCACTGTATGAATTGGGTCTTTAGACTAGGCAGTGTAAAAAAATAATAACAAAAAAATTAAAGTATGATATAAATAAATTAGTGCTGTCAAACAATTAATTGCGATTATCCAAAATAAAAGTTTTTACATGTATATATTTATAGTAATTTAATTTATATTATATATAAATATATTTAATGTTTAAACATTACATATTTTCCTTAAATATATACATGCATGTGTGTGTATCTATATATACATAATAAATATACACAGTGCACACGTATATTATGTAAACAAAAAAACATTTATTTTGGATGCGATTAATCGCGATTAATCGTTTGACAGCACTAATATAAATACATTTCATATGAATTAAAACAGAAATGACTAAATAACTTACTAAACTAAATAAATAATAACTTCTAATTAATTAAAATATATTTAAAAATGACATTAAACTAACAAATAAACATAGAACATACAGTATAATGAGAAAAAAATAACCCAAATAATATTTGACACATAATTATAATATCATTTGTTCAGAGTTGAAACTGTGTCCTTGTAAATAGCTTTTTTGCTCAGATGAGGATGATCATAGCTGAGGGTCCTCGAGTGCTGGGTTTAGTTGATTTCTCCCAAAGCAGCCTCACCCAATCAGCACGAGAGTCCAGCAGTGCCACACCAGCGCGTGGTGCATGCTGGGTAACACTCGGAAAAAGAGCAGGATCCTCCGCTCACGCTTAGACACGGACACACACACACACACACAGAGAGACACCCGTGACGCCGGAGCGCGGGATGCGCTCGTGAGGATGGGACACTTCACTCCGGTCTCGTGAGGTAAGAAGATGACTGACAGCTGCGCGACAGCTAGGCGTTAGCACCGAGGCTAGAGCTAATGTTAGCCTGCTAGCTTCACCCGTGTTAATCAATGGGTTCTGATGCTACACTGAGCTGGTATGCTAACAGACCGAGTTTGCTCTTCTCAGTCACTTGTGGAACAATAACACGACTCTTATGGCAACTTAATGTCATTGTTTAGACATTAGCAGCTCATTTTGACTGAATTCAACACCGTATTTTATGCTGTCAGGTGTAATTACACTGCTGTGATCAAGCTAAGGGCTAACTGCTAGCCATAATGTAAACATAACCAAAACCGATTTGATTCTTAACAGCTGTGATGAATTGATTTAGTAACTTTACTCCTAAAGTGTGTCTTATACACTTAAATGCTGTCATTTAGATTAGAAACTATGTTATTTATAATCGTTATAATACTACAGTTTAGTCTTGATATGTGTAATATGAATATACAGTTATAATTATAGATATTATTTATAGATGTAGTGCAAGAAAATAAGAGTATCACTGGCAATCTGATCAAATGCATGGGAATTCTTAATGCGCAATAATATAAACTAGAGGAGTAAAATAATTAAGTTGGACATTTGTTATTGTGTTCTGATAATAAAGTTGTTTTGTATTTGTGCTAGATTATAGAAATCTGCAGTTAAAAGGGTGTAAGCGTAAATGGTAGGTTAGCACAATTTACTTTCTGTTCCTGTTTAAGTATCGGTTTCATAATAATTATAAAATTAATACACAGTTATGATTATTAATATCGGTTATTTACAAAAGGTTTTATCCTTACAGGAAAGTTGAGTATTACGGTCAGTCCCATCAAATTTATGAAGCTGTTTATTGCATTATATATCTGAAATTGATTTGCAATAATATAAATCAGAGGAGTACCGTAATTAGTTCATTCGGAAATATGTTGATGCTTTCTGATAGCAACATCTTTTTTTGTGCTATAAGATGTCTATAAGACGTAGGTCACTTAATTGGTGTGACTGTAAACTGAGGTTTGCAATTTTGCACAAGTGTCACTCTGTCATTGTTTGACCCACCTTTGCGCAAACAGCACTGACGAAGCTCCCAGCTAAGGTCTACAATAGACCATTTAAAAGCCTTGTTTTATTTGGTTTGTGCTTTTGCTCTCCTTTGTAAATGATTGCATTGAGTGACGTGGATTTTCCGGATTGATCTGGTTTCCCTGCTGCACTCAAGTGACCACTTCTCCCATTAGCACTTAATTAGCGTCTGATTTGAAGACAGTCTGTCTTGTTTTTACTCTTGTTGATTTGATTTGAGTTAGACAACAAGAACCTGTTCCTGTAAATAGGCCCTTGAGCGCTATCATAATGAGCGCTGCCAACAGAGGGCGATTGCTTAGCGGTGTTACAATGGTGATCAGTGGTTTGTATAAAGAAAATAAGCATGCATCTTATTCATGTCAAGATTAAGAAGATTTATTAATGTGGTTGTGTCCTCAAAAGCGGCTTGATGTACTGAAGCACAAACGGTGTGTGATGATTTACTCGCTAGTTTAATATTTAGGGCGTAAAGCATTTGCAGAGCAATAGCAAAAGTGTTGCTTGTCTTTGCAAACACCAGTAATTAGACGTAGGAGGATGCTGATGTACAAAAACGAGGCTTAAGTTCATTAAAGAGGAAGCATGAGTGATAATGCAGCGTCTCCCTGCTGTTCTCACTGTTGCGATTAAAACATGCAGCGTTGCAGAAGAGCTGATTTTCTGTTGCTGTGTCAGAAATAATTTCCAAACGAATTTTTGCATTTCATCATTAAATCTAATTATGGTTTTGGACTAATCCTGAGGGCATCCTGACACTTTCATTATATTAGTAGCTGTCTCATTGTGTTACATGCATTGTAAGGCTGCGCGATTCGGGGGAAAAAACCTAAATGTGATTAAAAAAACAATTGTGACTATATATATATATATAAAATGAACACAGTGCCACACGTTACTCTGAAATACGCAGTAGGCTATGTGTATTCAATTAAATAGTATACTTTGCATTGCAATTTGATAATTTCACCTATCCATGCTGAATTTAGTTTTTATTTTGATTAAGCGTGCATGCATTAGGGTTGGGCCGATAGACGATGCCATCGTCCATCGCCGATGGCTGACAGACATCGCGATGTTGAGCCGGCATCGTGATCTCCCCCATACCCCCCGCAATCCGCCGCACCCCAATTCCGTGTTCGGAAAGGAAATTAAGTATACTACAGAACCCTTAAAAGGAATAAATAGCCTACGAGATGGGAGGATAACAAATATTTCAATACTTTCTCTCGCAATTGTACCGTTGGGTAATTATACTGTATATAATTTGCGGGCATCAGGGAGCCGCTACTTATATGCAGGGCATTGAAACCACTTTTGAATGCGCGCTCTCATTTTACTTTCACTTTCGTGATTCGCGATCACACGGACTCTATACTATGGACCAGTACTGCCGCTTCCACACATTTTACAAGATTAGATATTTGTCAGTGGTGCTCAGTATCTGCAAATCATTCGCCATTGTCTTATCAGTCATCTCTCCTTACTCTGTGTATGTGGTAAGTGAACTTTCATGTACTATAATGTAACAGTCTGCCGCTAGCAAGTGGCTAATCATGTCCCTTTAGTGGCTCCATAGACTGCATTATTTGTTTTCCGTGCCTTTCTGCATACAATTCACGCTTCAGGCAACACTGAGCTATTTTTTTTACCAATACCTTTCAGTAATAAATTAAATGTAATACAATGTACCCTACCGTTCAAAATTTTTAAAAAAGTCTCTGCTGCTTACCAAGGCTGCATTTATTTAATAAAAAATACAGTAAAAATAGTGATATTGTGTAATATTGTTACAATAAAAATAAAAACTTTTCTATTTGGACAAATGTAATTTATTTCTGTGATCAAAGCTGAATTTTCAGCATCATTACTCCAGTCTTCAGTGTCACATGATCCTTCAGAAATCAGTCTAATATGCTGATTTGCTGCTCAAGAAACATTTCTGATTATTATCAATGTTGAAAACCGTTGTGCTGCTGAATATTTTTATGGAAACCGTGATACTTTTTTTTCAGGATTCTTTGATGAACAGAAAATTCAAAAGAGCAGCATTTATCTTTTGTAACATTATAAAAGTATTTTGATCCCCTCTCTGTTCTACACTTTTTACTGAGCAACACAATTTTCTTCTTTCTTTCTGTGTTTCACTAAGTCTGCACTGGTCAGCCGTCTGGAGAAGATTTTCCAGGCCAGTTTTGAGCTGGGTGTCGCCCCTCAGGTGGAGGAACAGGTGACCATGCTCAGCACCTTCCTCCAACCTCCTGACACATCACAACAGGAGGACGCTGACAGAGGGCCGACCAATGGGTGAGGAGCTACGAGTTTATTTGCGTAGTGCTGCTGGTGGCCAATTACCTCAATTAAGTCATGTTTATTGTCCTGTGGTCAATGAAACACTCTCTGTCTCCTCCTGCGGGTTCTGTAGGGCACTGCGGAACGTTTGGCAGCAGCTACAGGATGTTAATAATGCCTACGGCCTCCGGTACCAGTGGGGCGGCTCTCATACCAATAAAGCACTGCTCTGCTCGCTTGGTATCGACACCAGAAACATAGTGAGTTGGGTTATGGGAAAACAAAGGATCTGGTCAAGTCATGTATATTAGAAGCTGTATTCTTCCTGAAATTGTAACCGATTACTCTTTAACTTTCCCTCTCCTCTTCTGTTTTTATCTCTTTCTCCTCAGCTGTTCACGGGCCATAAAAAGCAGCCTGTAATTGTGCCAATGTATGCTGCCAGTCTGGTGAGTGAAGTCCAGCTGCAGGCGAGCTGTGTGTGTGTGTGTGTGTGTGTGTGTGAGAATGATGGACGCTGGTTTATTTTAGATGTTCTCTAAAGCTCATATGTGTTTAATCAATCCTCTTTGATGCCTGTTGGTCTGCAGGGGATGCTGGAACCCACGAAAGAGCCGGTGAAGCCCGTCTCCGCCGCTGAAATGATCGCCTCAATAGCACAATCTCCTTCAGTCGCCACGGAGCTGAACACCTGTCCACCTGACACCGCCCAGGTGAGCGTCTTCAGTAACCTTCACCTGCTAAAGTAGTACACCTATTACACACCTCTCTATATAAAGTTGGATATATAGTATATCCAACTTTATTTGCATACATACAGTATACTTGAATTAAGCAATATAAATCTCTGCTTGGCTGTTTATATTGTTGGAAAATGTAACTATTACGGCCAAGCTCTTTATATAAAGTCGGATATGCAAGTATATATACTGTACACTCACGTATTATATACTACATAGTAAATCTCAACTGCTCGATTGCTTGCATCATTGTAAAATATAAATTTGACTTATTTACCAAAGGCCAGTTAATGATTATTATAAATGTAAATGAAAACTGAAATATGATGCATCTAAATATTTGCCACTAATGCTTGAATGCTTTTGTGGGTTATGAATTGTCATTTTTTTTATTTGTCAAAATTTTAACCGTAGCAAGACCTCATGTAATCTCTGCAAATTAAATTTCATATTATATATATAATAAATAGAAAAAATAAAAACAAGAATGATGGAGATAAATAGACCACGATGGTCATAGCCATGGTTAACATGCCAGTCTGACAAAGTGATGGATAATTAGGCTATTATTTGAAGCACAACCTTTGATCTTTTTGTGAGAGAAAGATATTAGTCAGGTAAGACTGATTTGGAAAATGTCAAAACTTTAACTTTAGAACAGTGTTTCTTTAGGAAGGTTTTTTATCATACTTTTGTGACAAAGCATCTCAAATCAGTAGTTACCGCAGTTTATAACAGACCTTAAAAAAGTTTCAACAACTATATTTCTAAGGGTAATAACTGGGCGGCAATCATTAATTAAATAAACCTAGTCCTGCACATTTTTAAAAAAAAAACGTAATTGTCACACAAACAAAAGTATCATACAGACAACTAAATAGAGCAACTTTTTTCATTAAGATTCTTAATTATTATTTTTTGCATTACTTTGTAAAATGTGATATCTGGGCTCTTTTTCTGTCGTCAGGAGTCTCTTCCTCCCGTTCAGTTTGACTGGAGCAGCAGTGGCCTTACAAACCCTCTGGACGGTAAGACCGATCAATCGTTTCTTGAGGAGGAGCATCGCAGGGAAAAATGGAGAAACAAGCTCCTCATTCTCAAATATATGGAAACGTGCCTCGTGTCGTGAAAACTAAACGCTTGATCAACAGTTGCACAGTAACCGTCTCCACGTTTATGTTGGCTGCTCGTGTACTCTTCATGCTTCTCGCTAACAGAAACCAGCACTAATCCAGTCACGTAGTTTCATCACTAATCCAGACCTGAGCATATGTCAACTTCTGCTTTCCTGTGTTCTCTTTCTCTCTGTCCTCAACCCTTCTCTCCTCTTTCACCATCCCTCGTTCTGAAGCGAGTGGAGGCTCCTCTCTGCTCAACCTCGATTTTTTCGGCCCTGTGGACGAGTCGCCCTCCGGCACGGCCACCTCCATACCAGGTTTGCTGAAGCATGTCCAGTTTAACACCAAAGCTGTCTGTGTGTTCTTGATTTCTGCTCTATTTGCATCTATATCTTTAACCTTGCATTCAAACGATCATTGTTGCATGCGTGCATGCGCTGGCGTATCACAAGTGTGCTGACATGCGTGTGCAGGCGTGGACCCGGAGCTGTACGAGTTGACCCAAGCGAAGCTGGATGTCAGCGGAGGCAGCAGTAGAGTTGTGGATGCGTTCGCTCGCCTCATGTCGACCGTTGAGAAGACCAGCACCTCCACCAGGTCAGTGAGCCTCACTCATTCACAGTACTGCTGCTGGGCCACCAGGAGGAGCCACACGACAGTTCCTGATGAGTTCAGAACAGCAGGTTTTCTGTAGGCATGGACTCATTATTTGATCCGACTGTCAAAGGTTAGATGTTTTTACACAGAATTGAATAAAAATGCAAAATAACCATTTTTAATGGGATAACTGGATGTAAGCCATTGCTATTTACTACTGTTTGAAACCTTTATTAGTACATACTTCTATCGTGCTGCTCATACAGTTTTTAAAAAAAATTTTAAAGTGTGGTGCTAGGTTTATTAGTTAATTTAATGATTGCCGTTCAGTTATTACCCTTAGAAAAATATGGTTATTTTGCATTTTTGTTCCAACTTTTCTAAGTCTGATCAAACAATAAGTCAAGAAATGGATGTTATAAATTGTGGTAGCTACTGATTTAGGATGCTTTGTCACTAATGTAATGCAAAAAACAAAAGAAAATTTTTTATGTAGAAAAGCTGTTCTGAAGTTATCTGATGTTTTTTTGATCGGTCTTATGTGATTGTTCACTCTATCTTTCTCTGATCTTTTTTCTTGTCTCTCTGATCTTCCTCTCTGATCTCTCTTTTAAATCCGTCTGATCTGATCACTTGTTCTGAACGAGGCATCAGTTTACTGTCGGGGATTTGTCATGTCGCGCCGCATCCAGTGTAGTCAGTCGCACAGCATCACTGATTATAATGGGTTCTATTGTATTTTGTCGCGTTGCGGCACTCGCGTCCGGTGTAGACACGGTGAGTCACGCAGATGCATGTGAACACTGAATTCCGTTCACTTCCACGCGTCTATTTGTGCTTGAAATGACACATACGCATGAAATTATGTAAAAATGCATGCCTCTGCAAGTATCCTTGTAAACACAGTTGCTTATGGCTTAGGTAAAGGTAAACAATTGAGAAAGAAAATGGATGTGTAATAGTATATTGGTTCACAGCAGTTTAATGTTCCTGTTGCTTTCTGTGTTGTGAATGTTAATCAAACAACAAAACACATATTCTGTCTGATCTATGTCTGATCTCTTGTTCTGATCTCTGTCTGATCTCTTTCTCTGATCTGTCTGATCTCTGCCTATTCTGTCTGATCTCTGTATATTCTGTCTGATCTCTGTCTATTCTGTCTGATATATGCCTGATCTCTCATTCTGATCTCTCTGTCTATTTTGTCTGATCTCTTTCTCTATTCTGTCTGATCTCTGCCTGACCTCTTATTCTGATCTGTCTATTCTGTCTGATCTCTGTCTATTCTGTCTGATATATGCCTGATCTCTCATTCTGATCTCTCTGTCTATTTTGTCTGATCTCTTTCTCTATTCTGTCTGATCTCTGCCTGACCTCTTATTCTGATCTCTGTCTATTCTGTCGGATCTGTCTGATCTCTTGTTCTGATCTCTGTCTATTCTGTCGGATCTGTCTGATCTCTTGTTCTGATCTCTGTCTATTCTGTCGGATCTGTCTGATCTCTTGTTCTGATCTCTGTCTATTCTGTCGGATCTGTCTGATCTCTTGTTCTGATCTCTGTCTATTCTGTCGGATCTGTCTGATCTCTTGTTCTGATCTCTGTCTATTCTGTCGGATCTGTCTGATCTCTTGTTCTGATCTCTGTCTATTCTGTCTGATCTCTGTCTATTCTGTCTGATCTATGTCTGATCTCTTTCTCTATTCTGTCTGATCTCTGCCTGACCTCTTATTCTGATCTGTCTATTCTGTCTGATCTCTGTCTATTCTGTCGGATCTGTCTGATCTCTTGTTCTGATCTCTGTCTATTCTGTCTGATCTATGCCTGATCTCTTATTTTGATCTCTCTGTCTATTCTGTCTGATCTCTTTCTTTGATCTGTCTGATCTCTGCCTATTCTGTCTGATCTATGTCTGATCTCTTTCTCTGATCTTTCTGGTCTGTCTATTCTGTCTGATCTATGTCTGATCTCTTTCTCTATTCTGTCTGATCTCTTTCTCTATTCTGTCTGATCTCTTGTTCTGAACTCTGATTTTTCTCTGATCTTTCTGGTCTGTCTATTCTGTCTGATCTATGTCTGATCTCTTTCTCTATTCTGTCTGATCTCTTTCTCTATTCTGTCTGATCTCTTGTTCTGAACTCTGATTTTTCTCTGATCTTTCTGGTCTGTCTATTCTGTCTGATCTATGTCTGATCTTTTACTCTGATATGTCTGATCTCTTTCTGGTTGGTTTGATCTGTTTTAAATGTTTCTCTCTGATGTGATCTCTCTCTCTGACCGGTCTGATCTCTCTCTCAGCAGAAAGCCTGTGCAGAAGGAGGAGAATCTGAGTTATGTCTGATCTTTTACTCTGATATGTCTGATCTCTTTCTAGTTGGTTTGATCTGTTTTAAATGTTTCTCTCTGATGTGATCTCTCTCTCTCTGACCGGTCTGATCTCTCTCTCAGCAGAAAGCCTGTGCAGAAGGAGGAGAATCTGAGCGAAGAGTGGCTATTACATTACAAACAATATTGTTATTACTTGTAGGTTTTAGGTGATTTGATTTCACGCAGGCATTAGTGAACACTTTATCCTTTTGTTGTGCAAATAGTTTAACAATTAACTCGCTTTCCACACTGACAGACAGAGTCCATCAACTATAGAACTATAGAAACCACATCTGTGCATTAGCTGCTCATGTTTTTCGGTTCTTATTTTGTTTATTATTCTTTTTTAATGTAAGTTGAAACCACTGGCTTTAGACTTTACTGTATTGAAGGAATTGTTGAATGAATGATCAACTTGAATATATATGTATCAAGAATAAGGGACCAATATCTGCTGTATCGTTTTGCTCATTTATCTGTTATCATTGTGTTTTGGGCATTCTGTATCTGTGTTTTATTTACTCTGATCAATCTTAAGTGACTCTTTTGGAGGACGTCTGCTGTCACTGCGGTCCTGTACGCCAGGAGTGCATGATGGGAAATGTTCGCCAGAAACGAGTTTTCTCACCTTTTGGCTTTTTTTGTCTCGTTTTTTTTTTTTCAGTTGTGTCACTGTTTATTCTGTCTCCTGGAGGATTTTGCACATTGTAAAGATATACAGAAGAACTGCTTACATAGTTAACTGTGGCTTCGGACTGTGTACAGTCAAACTATGGAACATGTAAAAATTGTTATGGGAAAATTCCTATGGAAAACTCATACAGATGAATGATATCTCTAAAGAGCCTGTACCGAGGTCAATCGCGCATGCCCAGGTTCTTTAAAACGCCATTCTCTTCCTCCTGCTCCAGCTTCCGCTTCAGGCCTTTACTCAACATGTAGCATATATCTGAGAGAGAAACGCACAGAAATTAAGCAAAGCGCATTATATTTATACGATTTTTAATTTTTAATTTAAGATTTTATTTTTAAATATTTCTGATATGTGACCCTGGACCTCAAAACCAGTCATAAGGGTCAATTTTTCGAAATTGAGATTTATACATCATCTGAAAGCTGAATAAATAATCTTTCCATTGATGTATGGTTTGTTAGGATAGGACAATATTTGGCTAAATGTTTCTCTCTTATGTGATCTCTCTCTCTGACCGGTCTGATCTCTCTCTCAGCAGAAAGCCTGTGCAGAAGGAGGAGAATCTGAGCGAAGAGGCTCGGCGAGTGATCTCAGGTCTGCCGGATCTGTCGTTCATGCAGGCTAAAGTCCTCATGTTCCCCTCCACGCTGACTCCTCTCCTCCCCTCCTCCTCGCCCGACTGACGCGGTCCTCTCCTCCGTGCCGTTTCACCTCTTTCTCGGTGTATCGCTCTCCAGCTTTTCACGAAACGGACCGTTATGATTTTAATTTCATCCTTTTGGTCTTCTAGCTCCTGTTTGTCATGTACCTGGGCGTTTTTACGTTCAAAAACATTGTCTATGTTAGAGAGAGTGGATGAGACAATCGATTAATGATCGATCGCTTTAGAGGAGAAAAGACTAGATCATTTTATTTGTAGGATGAGAGTAGGAAAAGAGTTTGTGTTTATATTAGAGCCAATCTGTATATAATCAGGGATGATTTTGTTTCGCGTATTCTTCACAGTTAAGATAGTCTGTATGAGAGAGAAAGAGGCACTTTGTTATTTTCAGGTCGTTTGTTTTTATGAAACACTGGCTTAAAAGTCCTTCATTAGCACAAATGATGATGTGAATGATCTGATTTGTATTTGTAAATGCGTAGTTATATCGACTTGAAACCCAACCAGTAAGTAAGACATTTACTAAATATCTCCATGGAACATGATCTTTACTTAATATCCTAATGATTTTTGGCATAAAAGAAAAATCGATCATTTTGACCCATACAATGTATTGTTGGCTATTGCTACAAATATACCCCAGCGACTTAAGACTGTACAAATATACCCCAGCGATGCAGTAAAATTTTAAATATTTTATTTAAACAATAAAGTAACATTAAATAATTTTTAAAAAGAACGAAATATTAATATCTTATTACATTTCATGATTTTTCAAGTTTTTAGATTTTAGGCATCTTCTATATTAACATTTTAAATATTTTAAAAAGTAAACAAATGTAATAAAATTAAGTATTATTTTTAATATTATCTGAAAAATTACATTTTAATGAATAAAATGGAATGTAATAAAATGACAAATTAGTGAAAATATATAACTTTAAAATGTATATTTTATTGTAAATGTTTTCTATAATAACATTTTAAATATAAAAAAAATAAAAAATTAACTGAATTGTTTATTTTTATATTATCTTTACTTCAATTAATACAATTGAATGTAATTAAATTACCATTTAAAATATTTTACTTAAAAATTTACATTTTATTTATTTTTAGTGTAAATTTCCTATATTAACATTTTGAATATAAAAGAGTAGCAACAATAAATTTAACAGAATTCTTTTTTCTGTATTTTAAAATTAATATTCTGCTCAAATGAACCTTTTAAAGGGCTAGTTCCTCTATTTTAGATAAGAAACAGGAGACGACATAACATTAAAGGTCTTTGTAGAATAGCCAGATACACAGTATTTTCCATCAAAGACAATCAGTCACCAGTGACGGCTCGTGACCACACATCTGACTCTCTTCTCTCTGGACTCTGTGATTACTGTAAACCAGAGCACTCGCTTTGTTGCCTCACTTCCTCCCTTCAACTGATTAGTTAGTAGTGGTTAATCGTTTGTACCACTAAAGGACCAACAATCATGTGTTCATGTGAACAACAGCATAATGCCCGAGTCACACAATGCACAATAACTTACTGGATTATAGAACATACGTAAATTATTTTAGATTTGAGAATTCTAGAACGTTTATGTCTCGAGAGTGATATGTTAACTGATATCATATAATGTGCACATAGGCCTGTATGAGGTTTGCATTAGACGACACTGAGCAGACGTGCAAAAATTTACCAAAAGGTCTTATTTTCGCATAACTTCATCTGTTAAACGCATGTATATTTACACAACCAGAGTTGGGGAAAGTTACTTTTAAAAGTAATGCATTATAATATAACTAATTACGTTACTTAGTTACTTTTTATGGAACGTAATGCGTTACGTTACTTTTGCGTTACTTTTTAAATCTGGACAGGGCTTGCTTGTCTGTTTTTAAAATAAAAAAGTTCTATTTTTGGCAAATATAAAAGCCTTTTCACACCAAAAGGGAAATGAATAAGCCTCAGGCTGAAGGGAAAGTACATTTACGTCCGTACAGTAGAATGCAGAAGAAGACATTTCAACACACTTCAGCAATAAACAACACACAAATGTTTGTAATTTGTGCTTATTAGTACGGCTGAACTGGATCATCGAAGCTCAGAAGCAAATAGAATGGGATTAAATACATAAAGCATATTTGTGTTGTTTAACATTTAATTATTGCAGGTTTGCGTCATATTCTGAGTTGCATTATTTTTATTCATTTTGAGGAATACTGAATCTGTTTTTGTTGTTTTTTTGTGTGTGTGTGTGAGTGAGATGAAGTAATGCATATTCATATTTATTTAGAACTACAGGAACATCTTCTGATTTCTCTCAACATGAGGACACCAGAGCTGTCAATCAATAAATAGAAAAAAAAGTAACTTTTGTTACTTATGTGAAAAAGTAACTCAGATATTCTCTTGTAAATTAAAAAGTAATGCGTTACTTTACTAGT